CGCGGCGTTGGGGGCGGGGTTTGGGGTGAGGGGGCGGGGCCCGAGCGAGGGGCGGGGCCTGGCAGGGCGGGGCCGGCGGCGTTAGGTGCTGAAATAGACTGGAGAAATTTGCATATCATTAGCATTCTGTCCCTTGTCTGCACGCTCCACCCCCTCATTTGCATGCCCATGGCTCCGCCCACTCCTGCCCTCATTTGCGTGCATTAAATGCTAGTAGCTAATTTGCATATAGTTTGCATATGCATTTGCCACTTAGTATGTTGATTTGCATAGTCCCACCCCATCCCACCCCTCATTTGCATAACTGAACCTCATTTGCATTCATTGTGCTAATTTGCATAACCCATCTTCCTCATTAGCATTCTCTGCTACTTTGCATAATCCCCTATGCCCCGCCCCCATTTGACTCACCCCTATTTGCATACAGAGGCCTCATTTGCATATCCAGACACATGATTTGCATGCCATGCCCATCATTTGCATCCCCAGCAACCTCATTTGCATAACCCAAAAAACTTAATTTGCCTAACCCAGTGTCCTCATTTGCATAACGTGCCCCTCATTTGCATAACACGCCCCTTATTTGCATAACCCAACCCTCATTTGCGCGTTTACCCACAAATTCATTCCCCACTATGCCTCATTTGCATGCCCTGCCCCTCATTTGCATACACCCCGCCCCGTTCCCATCTCCCGATTGGCGTGCAGCCTGCCTCATTTGCATACTCCCGGCTCATTTGCATACGCGGCCGCTCACCGATGATGATGATGAGGACGATGGCGCAGATCACGCCCAGGATGATCATCATCTGCACAGGGAGAATTTGGGGGGTTTTCGGGATTTTTGGGGATTTTGGGAATTTTGGAGAATTTTGGGGGAATTTGGGGGAATTTGGGGGAGTTTTGGTGATTTTTGGGGAATTTTGGGGTCTTTTTTGGGGGAGTTTTGGGGGAATTTTTGGGGAATTGTGGGCTTTTTTGGGATTTCTTTGAGAATTTGGGGGATTTTGGGGGAATTTTTGGGATTTTTGGGCAATTTTGGGGTCGTTTTTGGGGGAGTTTTGGGGGAATTTTTGGGGAATTGTGGGCTTTTTTGGGATTTCTTTGAGAATTTTGAAGATTTTTGGGGGGACTTTGGGGTCTTTTTTGGAGGTTATTTGGGGTTTTTTGGGTCTTTTTGTAGGTGCTTTGGGGTCTTTAGGGTATTTTTTCAGATCTTTGGGGATTTTGGGAGAAGTTTTGGGGCTATTTGGGGCCATTTTGGGGCAATTTCAGGGTATTTTGGGATGATTTCAGGGTATTTTGGGGCCATTTTGGGGAGATTTTTGGGTATTTTGGGTCGTTTCCTACCTTGAGGTTCTTCCACCAGTACTTGCCTTGAGCTTCGGGTTATTTGGGGCTGTTTTGGGGCTATTTTGGGGCTATTTTGGGGATATTTTGGGGATGTTTTAAGGACATTTTGGGGACGTTTTGGGGATGTTTTGGGGATGTTTTGGGGTCTCACCGGGTGTCCCTGAGGATGTACAGCACGTGCCTGTTGCTCTCCATTCGCGCCGCGCTGGTCACGGGGGTGGAGAGGCCCTGGGCCTGCCTGGGGGCGCACGGGACCCCCCATGACCCCCCAAATTCCCTCTGCGACCCCCAAATTCCCCTGGCTGTTTTGGGGCTATTTCAGCCCATTTTGGGCTGATTTCCAGGTATTTTGGGGCTATTTCAGTTCATTTTGGGGCAATTTCAGGGTATTTTGGGGTGATTTCTGGGTATTTTGGGGCGATTTCAGCCCATTTTGGGCTGATTTCCGGGTATTTTGGGGCGATTTCAGCCCATTTTGGGCTGATTTCCGGGTATTTTGGGGCGATTTCAGCCCATTTTGGGCTGATTTCCGGGTATTTTGGGGCGATTTCAGCCCATTTTGGGCTGATTTCCGGGTATTTTGGGGCGATTTCAGCCCATTTTGGGCTGATTTCCGGGTATTTTGGGGCGATTTCAGCCCATTTTGGGCTGATTTCCGGGTATTTTGGGGCGATTTCAGCCCATTTTGGGCTGATTTCCGGGTATTTTGGGGCGATTTCAGCCCATTTTGGGCTGATTTCCGGGTATTTTGGGGCGATTTCAGCCCATTTTGGGCTGATTTCCGGGTATTTTGGGGCGATTTCAGCCCATTTTGGGCTGATTTCCGGGTATTTTGGGGCGATTTCAGCCCATTTTGGGCTGATTTCCGGGTATTTTGGGGCGATTTCAGCCCATTTTGGGCTGATTTCCGGGTATTTTGGGGCGATTTCAGCCCATTTTGGGTCCCCGTACCTTGAGGTTCTTCCACCAGTACTTGCGCTTGAGCTTGGCCGCGCTGGTCTCGAACTGGGAGGCGCCGGCCTGGAGCGCGTCCGCCCGGTCGTCCAGCTCCGAGAGCTTCTGGTCCCGCTCCAGCACCTTGTCCACGTTCACCCGCATGATGTCCACCACCTGCGGCCGGACCGCGGCCAGCGGGTCAGTGACCGCAGCCATGGCATACGGGGAAGCGGCCGGAGTGACCGCAGGGATGGCCCAAGGGTCAGGGGGGTCAGAGTGACCACAGGGACGGGACAGGGGCGGCGGCCGGAGTGACCGCAGGGATGGCCGGGGGGCAGTGGGTCAGAGTGACCGCAGGGACGGGACAGGGGCGGCGGTCAGTGCCCGGAGTGACCGCAGGGATGGCCAGGGGGCAGTGGCCGGAGTGACCGCAGCCATGGGACACGGGGTAGCGGCCAGAGTGACCACAGGGATGGGAGAGGGGGCAGCGGTCAGTGGGTCAGAGTGACCGCAGCCATGGGACACGGGGCAGCGGTCAGTGCCCAGAGTGACCGCAGGGACAGGACACGGGGCAGCGGTCAGCGGGTCAGAGTGACCGCAGGGACGGGACACAGGGCGGCGGTCAGTGCCCGGAGTGACCGCAGGGATGGCCCAAGGGTCAGGGGGATCAGAGTGACCGCAGGGACGGGACAGGGGCGGCGGTCAGTGCCCGGAGTGACTGCAGGGATGGCCGGGGGGCAGTGGGTCAGAGTGACCGCAGGGATGGGCCACGGGGCAGCAGCCGGAGTGACCACAGCCATGGCCCGAGGGTCAGCAGGCTCAGGGTGACCACAGCGATGGGCCAGGGGGGCAGCGGTCAGTGTGGTCAGAGTGACCGCTGCACTCGGCCATGGTCACAGCCAGGGGCAGCACCCCTCTGACCACACCCACTGACCACACCCTGACCACACCCACTGACCACACCCTCTGACCACGCCCTCTGACCACACCCACTGACCACACCCTGACCACACCCGCTGACCACGCCCACTGACCACACCCACTGGCCACACCCACTGACCACACCCACTGACCACACCCACCCACTGACCACACCCACTGACCACACCCACCCACTGACCACACCCACTGACCACACCCACCCACTGACCACACCCACTGACCACACCCACCCACTGACCACACCCACCCACTGACCACACCCATCCAGTGACCACACCCACACTGACCACACCCACACTGACCACACCCAAACCCCTGGATGGCCCAAGGGTCAGGGGGATCAGAGTGACCGCAGGGACGGGACAGGGGCGGCGGTCAGTGCCCGGAGTGACTGCAGGGATGGCCGGGGGGCAGTGGGTCAGAGTGACCGCAGGGATGGGCCACGGGGCAGCAGCCGGAGTGACCACAGCCATGGCCCGAGGGTCAGCAGGCTCAGGGTGACCACAGCGATGGGCCAGGGGGGCAGCGGTCAGTGTGGTCAGAGTGACCACTGCACTCGGCCATGGTCACAGCCAGGGGCAGCACCCCTCTGACCACACCCACTGACCACACCCTGACCACACCCACTGACCACACCCACTGACCACACCCTCTAACCACACCCTCTAACCACACCCGCTGGCCACACCCTGACCACACCCACTGACCACACCCTGACCACACCCCCACTGACCCCTCCCCCATTTTGCTGACCCCTCCCCCATCCCACTGACCCCTCCCGCACCCCCGGTGACCGATGAGTGACCGCTGAGTGACCACTGAGTGACCACTGACCACAGAGTGACCACTGGGTGACCACTGAGTGACCGCTGAGTGACCCCTGGGACCAAAGTGACCTCTGAGTGACCCCACAGTGACCACAGAGTGACCACTGAGTGACCACTGAGTGACCACTGAGTGACCATTTACCCCAGAGTGACCACTGAGTGACCACAGAGTGACCACTGAGTGACCATTTACCCCAGAGTGACCACTGAGTGACCACAGAGTGACCACTGAGTGGCCACTGAGTGACCACAGTGTGGCCGAAGTGACCCTGGGGGTGACAAAGTGACCACAGGGGTGACCCCACTGTCTGAGTGACCACAGAGTGACCACTGGGGTGACCCCCGGGGTGTCCCCAGTGTCCCCTCAGTGACCACAGGGTCTGAGTGACCCCCAGACCACCCAGGTGACCCCCGGGGTGTCCCCTCAGTGACCCCAAAGTGACCCCAGGGTGTCCCCGATGTCCCCAGAGTGACCACAGAGTGACCAGTGTCCCCAGTGTCCCCTCAGCGACCCTCAGACCACCCAGGGTGTCCCCAATGTCCCCCCAGGGTGTCCCCAGAGTGACCACAGAGTGACCGCAGTGTCCCCAAAGTGTCCCCAGGGTGTCCCCAGTGTCTGAGTGACCCCCCCCGGGGTGTCCCCAGTGTCACCCCAGAGACCCCCAGGGTGTCCCCAACATCCCCAAAATGACCACAGGGTGTCCCCAATGTCCCCAGGGGTGTCCCCAATATCTGAGTGACCCCTGGGTGTCCCCAGAGTGACCCCCAGACCACCCAGGTGACCCCTGCAGGGTGTCCCCAGTGTCCCCAGGGGTGTCCCCAAAGTGACCCAAGGGGGGACCCCGAGATCTGAGTGACCCCCGGGGTGTCCCCACCCCTCAGTGACCACAGGGTCTGAGTGACCCCCAGACCACCCAGGTGACCCCCGGGGTGTCCCCTCAGTGACCCCAAAGTGACCCCAGGGTGTCCCCGATGTCCCCAGAGTGACCACAGAGTGTCCCCAGTGTCCGAGTGACCCCCAGAGTGACCACAGAGTGACCACAGTGTCCCCAGAGTGACCACAGAGTGTCCCCAGTGTCCCCTCAGCGACCCTCAGACCACCCAGGGGGTCCCCAATGTCCCCCCAGGGTGTCCCCAGAGTGACCACAGAGTGTCCCCAGTGTCCCCTCAGCGACCCTCAGACCACCCAGGGTGTCCCCAATGTCCCCCCAGGGTGTCCCCAGAGTGACCACAGAGTGACCGCAGTGTCCCCAAAGTGTCCCCAGGGTGTCCCCAGTGTCTGAGTGACCCCCCCCGGGGTGTCCCCAGTGTCACCCCAGAGACCCCCAGGGTGTCCCCAACATCCCCAAAATGACCACAGGGTGTCCCCAATGTCCCCAAGGGTGTCCCCAATATCTGAGTGACCCCTGGGTGTCCCCAGAGTGACCCCCAGACCACCCAGGTGACCCCTCCAGGGTGTCCCCAGTGTCCCCAGGGGTGTCCCCAAAGTGACCCAAGGGGGGACCCCGAGATCTGAGTGACCCCCGGGGTGTCCCCAACATCCCCAGTGTCCCCAGAGTGACCCCAGGGTGTCCCCAGTGTCCGAGTGACCCCCAGAGTGACCACAGAGTGTCCACAGTGTCCCCAAAGTGACCTCAGGGTGTCCCCAGTGTCCCCCCAGTGACCCCCAGTGTCCCCAAGGTCCCCAGAGTGACCACAGGCTGTCCCCAATGTCTGAGTGACCCCCAGGGTGTCCCCAATGACCCCCCAGAGTGTCCCCAGAGTGACCACAGAGTGACCATAGTGTCCCCAATGTCCCCAGTGACCCCCAGTGTCCCCAAAGTGACCACAAACTGTCCCCAGTGTCCCCCCAGTGACCCCCGGGGGGTCCCCATTGCCCCCAGAGTGACCACAGAGTGACCCCAGTGTCCCCTCAGCGACCCCCAGTGTCCCCAAAGTGACCACAGTGTCCCCAGTGTCACCCCAGTGACCCCCGGGGGGTCCCCATTGCCCCCAGAGTGACCACAGAGTGACCCCAGTGTCCCCTCAGTGACCCTCAGACCATCCAGGGTGTCCCCAGTGTCCCCTCAGTGATCACAGGGTGTCCCCAGTGTCCCTCCAATGTCCC